CAGTTCCAGTTCAGCCACACATCCCACACAAACTGATGGGTGCTGTGGCCAGCTCGGCCAGACTGTCAGACCCAGTCTCCATACAGTGGGTGCTGCAGCTTAGTCGGGCAAACGTCCAGTAACCATCACCAGTTTTGCCCCAAGGCCCAATTTTTATACATACCAGTTTCTGTTGCAGCCTTACCTGGTTGGGCGCACATCCCATTGGGCCTCTTGTGCACACCATGGATGCTGCAGCTTAGCTCAGCCTGACTTGCCCTCAGAACCAGCCTTCGATGTATGCCAACAGATGCTGCTGCCCTTTCTGGGCCTGGCCCACTTCCAGCCACCCCAACCCTGATTCTTGTGCTTACCAGCAATAGGTACAGCCTGGCAGGGGAATACCCACAGTTCCCCTAGCCTACTCCTAGCACCATCTCAGACTCAGTAGTGGGAGCTGTGTCTAGCGTGGGAGTTCTCCAAGTTCTTCTACCAGGCCTGCTGTCAGCCCTGGATCTCGTGTGTGCTATCAAGTGCTGCTTGGCATAGTCCACCCTCATTTATGGTCCTTGAATGCGCCAGCAGGTGCTGCAGCCTTGTTCCACCCAGCATTCTCCCAGCCCCAGCCGTGTGTCAGATAGTTCCTAGTCAGGTGTGTTCCTTGGCCCAGCCTGGCTCAATCTGTCATTGCCTGCCAGTTTTCTGCATAAACCAGTGGTTGCTGCAGTCCCACAGGCACAGGTTCACAAGTCCCCTACAGAATCTGCCCCCCAGATCTGGTTCTCTAGTGTTCCTTGGGTGCTGTAGCTCAGCCCAGTTGACCCACTTCTTGCTCTGGCATTCATGGGTAGGTTTTGTGGCCAGGCCCAGCCAGGAATGTCCTCCAGCCCCAGCTGGCAGATGGTGCTGTTTAGCCCAGCCCACGTCTCCCACGACTGACCAGACTTGTCCTCTGCTTTCAGCCCTCTAAACCACTCTGTCTCAGCTCCCCTGTCCACCTGCAAGTGCAGTGGATGACCTGCAAAATCATTCCTTCCTTGTCATACTAATCGTCACCTACTCCCAATCCAGTATGTTTCCAGCCACCTTCTTGGCAATTGCTAGGCCTTGCCATGTAGGGCGGGGTGGTGCATCCTTCCTGGACACCCCCATCCTTCCACTTATTAAAAAAAAAAGGTATGCTGGCACATTGGTAGAGTGAACTCACGTTTGGCATTAACCAGGCCCAGAACCCTTGCCAGCTCTTGGCTGCTTTCCTCTCAGCAGTGTAACTTGCCTAGGTACCAGGCCGTCTAGGCAGTTACTGATAGCTGGGGTATGCATTCCTTCTATAAATATTTTGCTGAAGTTTTGTTCATAAGTGAATGTTGAATTTTATTGAATGTTTTTCTTCCTGTATTGAGCTAATTGTCGAGACTTTTATCCTTCGTTCTCCTGATGTGATTAGCATATGTTGAATCATGGAATGCTGAGTTCCTTGGCAGTAGCTTAATTTGATGCAAAGTTCTATTCCCTAAAGAAATATTTTTTGGAGAACACTAGTTTGATAGCAGCATGGAGGCTCAATGCCATATGAACTCATACCTGGCTCCTCACGCTCTTGTCTGGATGTAGTAAAATCTGAGAAATGGAAACTCTACTCAGTTAGGTGTGACTGAGAATCCAGGCCGCCCTCTCCTCCCAGCTGCTGACATAGGGGCAGGAGCCCTTCATTTCTTCTCTCTTCAGGTGCTTGCTGCCAGAACTATGTTCTGGGTGAGTAAAACTGAGCGGTATGAGCCAGCCACCACCTGAGTGATAGGGGCTTCAGAGTGGGCGTCATAAGCGTGAATTGCATCTTCAGCGCATGGGACCCACGGTGCTGGCGTCCACAGTGATTGAGATTGTGAGCTTTGAGGTGCAAGTGTGGGCATTTGAAAGAGACTGCCTAAATGTGCTGAGTGTATTTATTTTGGTTGTGAGTAGAGGGCAGAGCGCGCACACTTACCTGTTGGTTCACTTTCCAAATGCTGCCAGCAGGTGGAGATGGGCTGAGTCAGAGCTGGGGGCTGAAGAGCAGGTTAACCCACTGATGGGGATGCCTGCTCCCCTGCTGGCCTGGTGCTTGCTGTTACAAGCATTTGACGGAATAAGCCAGAAGACAAATCTCTTTTTCTTGATTCTTCTTGCTCTTCATTTCAGACACATAAATTGATTGTTTTTCAAAAGATAAGTCACTCTGGATGTTGAGATGGATGGGTCCCGCAGGCTTCAGGGAGCCCTGGGGAATGAGACGCGTGTTTTCCATTTCGTTTTTGAGAATGGATTGCTGACATTGCTACATGAGCTGACATCTTTGTGGGGGAAGCCTCACTGGCATTGCACTCTCAGATCTGTGACAAGAGATGGGAATCCATGGCCTGTGCATCTGTCGGAGGCTGCCGCTCTGCTGAAGGCAGTGTGCTCTTTCAGAAACTTCAGAAATGTAGTCAGCTGGAGTGTGGTGAGGCAGAGCCCACCTGCCAACTTGCAGGGGCAGGAAAGTGTGTGCTCCGAGTCCAGGTCAGCGTTGGCCATGGCAAGTCGTTCCGACTGACCTGTGGGACTGTCTGTAGTGAAATAGTCCACACTCCTTGCAAAATAACTGAAATATATACAGGATTTCTTATTCTGAGCCAGTTGCATTCTGGGGGTTTTGTGTTGTCTCATCAGCAAGAACAGTTTGTGACTCATTCAAATGGATAAGCCTGTCCAGTGTTGTTTCATGACTTTGTAGAAATCTATACAAAATGTAGTCTCCTTAGACAGTAGCTTTTATTAGAAAAATTAGAGTTCTGATGTTCTTTCTACCAAGGTAGGGTATGCTGCATGAAGTAAAGGGCTGTATGAGTTGGAATTCACCCAAGGACATATTGTAGTGATCCAGCCCTCTCCCCGTTGCTTTGCTTCGAAGGAGACAAAGTAGCCTAGAAGTGTGAAGACCCTAGCTTTGCTGCTCTTGGCCTTCATCGCTCTTACTGCCCAGGGAGATCAAGATTTGATCTGACGCCACGTGTGACGTCACGTGTCACCTCATCCGTGGCTCACCAAAGTGTGGATGGTGTTGGAAGGGTTGCAAGGACCTTGAAAGGGGGATGTGAATGGCTTGAGAAAGATAAGGCAAAGGCTTGGGATGTGTCGTTGCTGGGAAAGGACTGAAGGTGTGGTCTGCAATGGAAAAATATGTTTCTGAGAATTGGCTTACCGTGCCCCCAAACCCACTGTCTGTCTGAGTTCCTGGTAGCATCAGAAAATATACCTTTAGTTGATGAATCTGTTGACATGTGTCAATGAGTACGTGACTCATATCCCAGCTTTTGGTGTGGTGTTCTCCATTTTACCATAGGTAATTCAGTACTCAAAGTGTTCATTGTTGAGACACTTTTTAGGAAGTGAAGGTAGTTCAGAAGAAACGCTTTGAATATGACTAGCTTTTTTCCTTCTGTACTTTCTGTGTGTTTTGCAGATGCAGTATGCCTACTTAATCTATTTTGTATTTCATTTTAAAGAGTTACATAGAGATTAGAAGATACACAGAGACAAAGAGAGAGATAAAGATCTTCCATTCATGGTTTGTTCCCCGGGTGGCTCAGCATGCAGGGCTGTGCCAGGCCAAAGCCAGCTCTCCTGCTTGATGCAGACGGCCAAGCACCTGCCACTTTCGTAGATGCCTTAATAGGGAACTGGGTTGTAAGTGGAACAGCTGGTCTCAAATTGGTGCCCTTATGGGATGCCAGCATTGCAGGCAACAGCTCAACCCATTTCACCAAAACACTAGCCATCCAATAAGATTACAATTAAAATTTTTCTCACTGAATATCATTTATTCATTCTTGATAATCGTGTTTAGTATGACAAGTGATTCTATAAAATTTAAATATATGACACTTTCAGTGTAAATGTTTGAGCAATACAATCAAGATACAATACTGTTCCCAGTTGTTATTTTTTAATTAAGACAGACAAGCAATGCTTTTGTTGTGTGACAACACCATGCCGACACCAGTCTGGTGGGCAATTAGCATGCTGTCATGCCCGGGATGGCTTCTGTGGGATTAGACTCTGGCGTGTAATTCAGTTCCTCTCCACGCTGTCACCGATGGCTCTCTGCACGTGCTGTGGAACAGATCCACGAGGAATGTGTGGGTTTCTGAGTCATTCTGGGGTGGATTCCTCTGTGTTGCAGTCGTGTGGTGCCAGGATCGAGGTTGCTGCTTCTCGGGGCGGGTAGCAGGATTCTTCCTGAGACAACTGTCCAGTGAGAAGAAGACAGTTACTTTTCAGATGTCACAGGACGCATTGGCTGGTATCCTGTGGTCTAAAGCAAGGGAGGTAGCAAAGGCAAGTTACTGTGGGACAGGATTATGTGAAGGCTGTAAGCTTGGGGATATGTCATTTGGAACGGTTTCTAGAATGTGTACTTAATAAAATACATCCATTTTTTTCCTGTATAGTTGCCAGCTATATATATTCAGGTTGCATGATGTATATTTTCTTTGGAATTTTATATATTTAAATATCAAGATAGACTAGTAAACGCATTGAATGGAATCCTGTGTGGTATATCTGAAATAATAGGAAATACTACACAAGTATTTTTCTGAGTTTAGATTTTGATGACAGCAGAATCTTTCTTTGGCATACTATAATTTACTTGGGTGGTCATCCTTAAAATTATACATTATATTTTGGTGGTAACATCAAATTAAAAAAATAACTGGCTAATAAATATTATAAATAAACATTACTAACCTAGTGATAAGCAGTTTTATCCGTGCCAATTCAAGTGGCATGTGGGTGCTTTTCTTGCCACTCATGGTACAGCTCAGCTCTGGAATGCAAGGGAGGCTTCTTGTTTCTCTGCCTGCCATGTCTGCCCTGGTTGGATTTATTTCTGATGTATAATGCTTCTGTGTTTATTTCATGAGCGTGTTTTGTGCAGTGGACTGTAGGAGCAAGCCAGACAGGTTCTTTCAATACTCTCCATTCACCCTCTCTTCCAGGTATAATTTTGAGACCTCTGCATTTTTTCCAAGAACAAGAAAATGAGCTCATCTTGTGTAAGTGTTTATTTCTGTTCTGTTTGCTGGTCATTGAGGTGAGATTGCGTATAGTACGTGCTGGAAATCTGCATTTGGTAGAATGTGGTCCCCATCAGCTTTGGGGAACACGTACTGGATCCCCGGTTAGACCAGGGCTGCACGGAGGACCTGCAGATTTGTAAATACGTGTTCCTCTCACATGGACTGTATGTGCAGATTGGGCCGCGTATTTTGACATTTATATTTTCAAACGTCCCATTCTTCATTTGGGTTTTAACCTATTCAAAGTAGCCTTAATTCAATTCTTTAAGTATTTATAAATAGCCTGCATGCCATTTTGCAACATTTAAAAATTTATATGTGAGCTAAAGACAGACACAACAACTCCATGCTAGTTTAAGACAGGGAAGGACAGAGCTCTCACCCAGCGGTTGGCTCTCCACCCGCCGGGAGCAGCCAGGGCTGGGCCTGCCCCTCGCATGGGCTGCGGAAGCCTGTCCTCCTGCTGTTTCCTGAGGTCTGGGTCAGCAGCAAGCCGGGATCAACGAGCAGCTGGTAACAGACCCAGGTGGTCCGAGGGAGGGTTGTTTCTTGGGAGACTGGGCGCAGGTCTTTCAGGTTCATGGCACATCTGCTATGTTGAGGGGAAACGTGCTCTTGCAGGTTTTGGTGTCGTTTGAAGACTTGGCTGTGGAATTCACCTGGGAGGAGTGGCAGGAGCTGAACCATGCCCAGCGAGTCCTGTATAGGGATGTGATGCTGGAGACCTACAGCAGCCTGCTGTCCCTGGGTGAGTGACAGGTCTGGCACGCCCAACTGGAATGGTTTTTTTTCCCATTTGAGTCTGAACTGAGCACTTTATAAGCGAACGCTGGGTGAGTACTGGATTGCGTCCATGAAGACTCTGAGCCCCTGTCCTCTAAGATTTGAATCAGAACATGTTCCTTCTTCAGAAAAATCCAGATTCGTGATTTGACAAAGTCTTCCATTGTTCCCTGTTAACAGGGTACTGCCTCACCAAACCTGACCTGATCTTCAGATTGGAACGAGGAGCAGAGCCATGGATGGTTCGGGACAGCCCAGCCCAGCGCCTCCAAGGTCAGTAGGCACATGCTTGCCAAGGGGGCAGAGCCAGCGAGAAAGCAGAGAGCGTGCTCTGAGATGCTTTTCACGGGTGTTTCCTGGTGTCCCGGCCTGAGACAGCTGGCCTAAGCCTTCAGGCACAGGCTCCCTCAGCCCCCAGGAGCATAGCCCCAACACTGCTGGAGCCTTGGCATGAATGCTTGGATGCAGCCCCTCAATTCTAACCTGTTTCATTTGCTCAGGAAGTTTTTGTTGTGTTTATTAATCCTGTTTATCCTTACTAATTGGGGGAGCTCACTGAAATTGGTTCTCCCATTTGTTCAGATTGGGGCCCGACTTAGAGCAGTGTTGTGGCACACAATCCAGGATTGAACCAATGAATGGGCGCTCCCTTCTCTCTCAGCCTCGAATTCAGTAATTAAGAGTAACTGCAGATGTTTCAAGGGTTGAAGCAGTACCCAGGAACTCTTTGCATATTTCTCATATTGTTTCCTCCTCTGTTTCACTGACTCTTAAAAAAATTTAAACGTTCCTATTTTGATGTGAGAAATTGCAAGGCTGTGTTTGACACTGTGGTATAATGGGTTGGCCCACCCTCCCTGCATTTCAGCTGTTCCGCTGCCCATCCAGCTGCCTTCTGATGCATCTGAGAAAGCAGCAGGAGATGGGCCGAGTCTGTGGGCCCCTTAACCCACCCAGGAATCCTAGAAGAAGCTCCAAGCTCCCAAGTTCAGCTCCCAGGTTCAACATGGCCCACCTCTGTCCCTTAGGCAGATTTGAGAAGGGCTGACTTGGAGTCCTTTGGGGATAAGACAGTAGGAGGAAGACTGTTTCTCTCTGCCTCCCCCTCTCTGTTAACTCTTTCAAATTAAAAAAAAAAAAGTGAGACTAAGCCAGAAGTGTCATAGACACTTGGCAATAAGTGATTCTGTGCTCACGAAGAGAATGAAAAGGTTGCGTGTCCCAAAGTTAGGTCAACCCCTGTAGTGATGGTGAATGCTCAGATTGGTTTGGGAATGGAGTTTATAATTTCAGTCCTTCCTTTTTCAATATCACTGTAAGACAACAAAAAGATAATACATGCATAAAAATTCAGTCTTCTGCGAAAATAGCAGGAAACTGATCCTCCAGTACAGAAACTGAAGACCTTCAAAAGTGCAAGTTATCAAGCAAGCGTTGTAGCAAAAGGACATTTGTTCTCAGAATGAGCTAGAAAACACTTTACAAAGGTGAACATACCTTGATTTACAGAAACAAAACCCTTACAGGAAAAGCTTATTGAGAGTAATGTGTGGAAGCTTTTCTTTGTGCCTGCTTGTGGTTCTGAGAAGCTGAAAATGACTACAACCCAGACATAGATCAGGATTATAAAAGCCAGTGGCCAGAGGGAAGCCTGCCTTCTCTGAGAAGGGAAGGCTCACTGCCTCAGCCTTTTATTGATTTCTCTGGGGAGTCAAATTAGAAGGGCTGTTATGCATATACTCATGTTAAACTCCTAGGCTGCTAAGACAGGAAGGATTGTCATTGCCTTTACCTGTAGGTTTCAGGACACACACTTAAATGTGATTCATGAGCATGACCGTGCTTTTTTCTCCTTTCAGTTGCCCACAGAAGACGTGATTTGATCGTGACCAGCAAGGAGAGTCAGGACAGAAGTTTGCGGAAAACTCTGATCACAAACAACACCACTTTCACTTACAAAGGAGCTGAATGGAGAAAGACACCCAGTGTAATGTCAAGCCATATTCCCAAACTGGTCATCAAAAAGGAGAATTGTTCAGGCGTGAAGCTTGAGACGTATGATGCATTTCACAGCATGCATCTCCCTGCTGTGCTAGAAGAGGTGCAGGCTGGGGAGAGGTTCAATGTGCTTGGTGTGCATGGGAATTGTCATTGCTCGAGGCTGGTTAGTCAGCACCACAGGATTCAGACTGCGCCGCAGCCGCTCGAGCACAGTGGGCTGGGGAAGTCTTTGCAAAGGAAGATGTTCTTCACGTTTGAGAGGGCTTATCCGAGAGATCCCTATGATAAGCCCGCTATTATGGGAAGTACATTTCAGATAGAAAAGGAAACTTTGCTGAAAAACCCTAACCTCAGTAGATATCAACAGACTCACACACAAGATAAACTCTGTGACTCTTTGAAGTATGAGCAGGACATGAATTACCAGTCAGATCTTACAATGAGTCTGAGAAATCATGCTGGAAGGAAATCCTATGCATATGAACCCACTAAGCAGTTTTTCAGCTACAGATCCTCCCAAACCAGTCATCACAGAACTCACATAGGGAAAATGCCTAACGAGTACAGTGAATGTGGGAAAAGCTTTTCCTGCAAGCCAGACCTTGCGACCAATCCAAGGATCCCTGCAGAGGAGATGATCTATAAATGTGATGAGTGTGGGAAGACCTTTGCTCGGAGGTCATACCTCAGCAGACACCAGAGAATCCGCCCAGAGAAAAAACCGTTTGTGTGTAATGTGTGTGGAAAAGCCTTTTCCCGGAAGTCAGACATCATAACACACCACAGAATCCACACCGGAGAGAAGCCATTTGCATGTGGCGAATGTGGAAAAGCCTTTTCCCACAAGTCGTACTTCCTCACACACCAGAGAATTCACACAGGGGAGAGACCTTTTAAATGTGGCGTGTGTGGAAAAGCCTTTTCGAGGAAGTCACATCTCGTAACACATCAACGGACTCACACAGGGGAGAAACCTTTTAAATGCAGTGTGTGTGTGAAAGCCTTTTCCTGTAAGTCAGACCTCAATAAGCATGTGAAAATTCACACCGGGGAGAAGGCTTACGAGTGTAACGAGTGTGGGAATGCCTTTTCCAGGAGGTCAAACCTCCTGACGCATAAGAGAATTCACACCGGGGAGAAACCTTTTGACTGTAGTGAGTGTGGAAAAGCCTTTTCCTGGAAGTCAGACCTCAGGAAGCATCAGAGAATCCACACGGGGGAGAGACCTTATAAATGTAGTGAGTGTGGGAAAGCTTTTTCCCACAAGTCGCATGTCATAACTCATCAGAGAATTCACACGGGGGAGAGACCTTTTGAATGTAACGAGTGTGGAAAAGCCTTTTCCTGGAAGTCAGACCTCAAGAAGCATCAGAAAATTCACATGAGGAAAAGACATTTAAATGCATTGAGTGTCAAAATGCCTTTTGCTGCAGGTCCAGTCTCCTAACACAGCAGTGAATCCACACAGGGAGAAACCTTACGCATGTCATCAGTGTGAGAATGCCGTTTGCCACAAGTTGCACTTGAACATCAGAGAATTTACACATGGGAGAGCATCTTGAATGTAGTGAGTGTAGGAAAGCCTTTTCCAGGAAGCAGCACTTAATAGCATGGAAGAGAATTCACACAGGTGGAAACTTGGTGAATGTATGGGTACAGAAATCTCCCTAGAGATCCGAATTCCTCTTAGGGTTTCACGTAGGGAAGAGACCTATGCGTAGTTGAAGAAAGCCTTTTGCCAAAAGCGCACTTGCATGAATGCCAGAGAATCCACAGGAAGACACCTCTCGAATGCAGGGAATGTGGCAAAGTCTTTTGGCGGAAGTTAGACTTCCTAACACAGCAGGAAACTGACACAGCAGGCAGTGCATGCAGGAATGCCTTTTCCCGCGGTCACACCTCATCACATCCGACCGTTCACACAGGAAAAACCTTTTGAATGTAACAAATGTGGAAAGGTGCTGGTACCATGGCGTAGGAGGTTATGCCTCTGCAGTGCTGGCATCCCATATGGGCACCAGTTTGAGTCCCAGCTGCTCTGCTTCTGACCTAGCTCCCTGTTGATGCGCTTGTGCAAGCAACAGATGTGTTAAGTGCTTGGGCCTCTGCACCCATGAGGGAGAGCTGGAAGAAGCTCCTGGCTTCAGACTACCAGCCCAGCTCTGGTCCTTGCCACCATCTAGAGAGTGAACCAGCAGATGGAGGATCTTTGAGTCCTCTCTCTCTAAGTCTGCCTTTAATAAAAACTTTTTCTAAAGTAAATGTTGGAAAGTTTTTTTTACCTGGAATCACACTATTGTGAAAAACACATCAGAAAATTTACACAAGGGAGAAAATTTCTGAAGGCAATGACCACCCAACACATAAGGGCGACAGCAAGTAAATGTGATGAGTATGGAAAAGCATTTTCATAGAAGTCATAGTTGGTAAGACAGAAATTCACGTAATGACGAAACTTTATGAATGCAGTGAATATAGAAAATTGTTTTCTAGAGATCACACATCAGAAAATCTGCCCGGGAAAAGCTTTATGAATGATATGAATTTGAAAAAAAAAGAAATCTCCCATGATTAAAGTCTCAGTAGGCATAGAATTTTAAATATGTATGGGAAGTTTGAATTAACTGTGGAAACTTGCTGCAAGTTAAAGCATATAGATCTATACAAAAGAAAAATAGTATCATGAAAATGCAAAAAAGTTATAAAGAAAAGATGAGGCATAAACTCAGGCAGGCAGTTGCTGTCCTTGCTTTCTCGTCCCACACTTTGCACAGTTCCTCTCCCTGCTTCCATACGGTTCAAGAATATTTTAACATAGTTTTAATCTGTTCTGTATTCAAAGGCTTAATTTGCCAATACTCATAATGTTCAAAACAAAAGTGGAAGGCCAGAAGACCGCTTTCTGCTGAACTGTAAAATAGAGTTAAAAATGACAGTGACATCCCAGAGTGACCACTTCAGACCTATACTTCTTATGTGTTCTGCATTAACCATCACATATTGGGGAAACCATAGTTGTCTTTTTGAATGTGGTTACATCATGATGTTCAGCTACGTCATTTTGTTGCAAAACAGGATTTTTTTTTTTTTTTGGTTGTTAGATTAAAGATGTACTTTTATTGAAAAGGCAGACTTACAGGGAGAAAGAAATGATTTTTCATCTGCTGGTTCACTCACCAAATAGCTGCAGTGGCCAGAGTTGAGCAGATCCAAAGCCAAGCTCTTCCTCCAGGTCTCCCACGCAGGTGCAGGGTGTCAAGCTTTTGGCTATCCTCTGCTGCTTTCCCAGGCCACAAGCAGGAGGCAGAGCAGTTGAGATGTGAACTGGTGCCCATGTGGGATGCCAGTGCTTGTGGGTGGAGGATTTGTCAGTTGAGCCGTTGCACTGGCCCTCCAAATTTTATTTTTACTTATTGTTTTGGCTGAGTGGTTTTCCATTGTTTTTCCGCCCATCACTTGATGGACATTTGGGTTGATTCCATATCTTAGTGATTACGCACTTAGCTGCAGCACACGTGGGTGTATAGATAGCCTGCTCCGAGGCTGATGTCACTGTAGGTTAATTCCCACACATGTTGGCTGGTCATATGGTAAATTTGTTCAGATTTCTTCAGAAGCTTCATACTGTTTTCCATCTGGCTGTGCTAGTTCATGTTCTCAATGAGAGTAAATTAGTGCACTTTTATCTCGCTACTCTTTATCCACTTTTTTTCTTTTATGATAACCCTTGTAATTGGGATCAGGCACAACTTTATTGTGGTTTTTATTTGCATTTCCCTGATGCCTGGTGAGCTTGAAAATTCTTTCAGGTGTTAGCAGTTTGCATTTCATTTTTTTGCAAAAAGTTTGTTCATGTTCTTTGCACTTTTGTCAACTGGATTGTTATGTTGTTAAGTTTGAATTCTTTATAAATCCTGCATATTGTTCGTCTGTCGGTTACAGAATTTGCAAGAATGTTCTCCCGTTCCATTGGTAATCTTTGCTGCTTTTTGGCTTGATGTAATTCCAGTGGTTTTATTAGGACTAGAATTGGGCTCCTGGGGTTTCTTCCGGGCAGCCTTTGTCCATGCCTGTGACCTGCAGGCTGTCTGCAGTATTTTCCTCTAATCATTTGAGGGTATCAGCTCTTAGAATTGTATTCTTGGTCCATTTTAGCCCTGATATTTTTAATAAGGTGCAAAATCTGGTGGTTTGTTTTATCTGTCTGCAAACGTAGACCCAACTTTACTCTCACCATTTGTTGAAGAGCCTGTGGTTTTCTCCCAGGTGGATTTCAGCCTAATATTACTCAAAAGTTATTTTCCTGTAGATGTGTGGGTTAATTTCTTTGGCTTCTGTTTTGTTTTCACTGATTTGCATGCCGTGTTTGTGTGCCAGTACCAGGCTGTTCTGAATACAAGTGCCCTGTAATACATCTTGAAGTTGAGTATCGTGACGCTTCCAGCTTCAGCTTTGTTGTTTAAAGATTGCATTAGCGTACTGGTGGGGGGGAGGGTGGTCACTGGTGTTTCCATATGAATTTTAGCAATTTCTCAATCCAAGAAAAATGTTGCGGGTGCTTCGATTGGGATTGCGCTGGACATGTAAATTGCGCTCAGCAGGATGAATCCTTTTTTGCTCATACTACCAAATCCACAGACATACAAGATTATTCCAGGTTTTGCTGTCTCTTTAAATGTTTTTGTCGTTGTTTAAGATCCCTGACCTCTTTGGTTAGATTTGCTATGAGATACTAAATGTTTTTGCAATAATTAGGAAAGGGACTGATATTACAGGTTTTTTCTCAGCCATGGAATGCTTCTGGACACAGTGGGTATTGATTTTTTTGTTGTTGGGGTTGATTTTTTTTTCCCCGTCACTTTACTGAACTCTCTTATGAAATCCAGCAGTCTCTTTCTAGAATCTTCTGGCCTCCCCGTATATGTTTCTATAGAGAAAGGGTGTTATTTGCAAACTGGGATAACTTCCTCATCACCAACTTGCATCCCTTGGCTTTCCTTTTCTGTTCTAATGGATACAGCTGAAAATTCCAGACTCAGTTTCAGAACTCTCCCTCTCATGAGCTCACCCCGCTGTGTGTGCCCCTGCACGGCTAGTCCAGGCACCCTTGAAATGGTGGCATAGAAAGCAGCAGGCGTTCAGCCTTGACCTGAGTCTCCTCCCTGCACACTCTGGCTTCAGTCTGAATCCTGAGTTAAAATGGCGCATCTGGCAGTGTTGTCTGTGACGGCTAAGGGGTGTTTCCTAAAGCACTGTGGTGTTTAGGAAAACATTGCAACACTGTTTTGTTTCACTCCCTGTCTGAATTCATGTAAAAGAAGAAGCTTTGAATGCAACAGAAGTGAGAACTTGGAGAAGCACCAGTAAAAATACGGAGAAAATGTTGAAATGTAATGTACAGAACCACACCTTAGCAGGCGGTAGGAATTCCCCATAAAGGACTTACTTTGTATGACAAAGACTGGCTCTGTGCTCTTCAAAATCTAGTTTGCTTCTTTTGATATCCAGCCTGCGTTGCTGGCTTCCCTTTTGGGTGGGACTATCCCCTTAAGAATGGGACAATGGCAATATGTTGTATTTTCACACAATTTTTTTGTTTGTTATATGACACTTGAATTATCTTGTCAGTTGCAAAGCGAATTGATTGTGTTGTTTTCCCCTGATTCCTTCTCACCTTATTCTTCCGTAGACTGGGCTCTGACCATAAACACGATACCTTCTGCATATGTGCCAGGTAAAATAACATCTCCCAGTTTTAGATCATGTATGGTCTCTCTGGATTGGGGAACGTATCTCTGAGCACTTATATTTAAAAGAAAAGATTTATTTTTATTTCAAAGAGTTACAGAGAGAACGGTAGTGATCTTCAACCCACTGTTTCACTCCCTAAATGGCCACTGCTTTCCAAAGCCTGTAGCAGGGAGCTGGAGCGGAAGTGGAGCAGCCGGGACTTGAACTGGCACCCCTATGGGATGTTGGCACTGCAGTCTGAGGCTTACTGTGCAATACCATGGTGTCAGCCCACTGACGACCTTTATACTTGGGGGAATCACAGACGTGTGTGTCTATGTCGGGACTTGTCCACATTACCTGACATTTGCTGATTGGGTGAAGGAGGGATGTGAGCAGGGTGTTCTCATGGCCTAAATGTCGGGAGTCTTCCTGAGACTGACTCTGTGCCTGTAATTGTTTGACTTTTGTTTTTTGGATTGTGGTGGTTTGCTTCTGTTTCTAAATAAATCCTGACAGTTGTATTCACTTTGCGTGACACTCTTGATTTCTTTGAGCTGCCTGGTGATGATCCAGGGAAGTCGCTGGGACCCGAGGACTGGAGCAGCAATCATTGCTGCCACCCTGAGCAGCGCATCACCCACTTGTCCCTCGTTTCTGCACTGTTCACTGTGGAGCCTTGGGCCTGTGGACTCATAGGGGATCTACAGGGTGGTGCACTCTGGAGACGGGCATGTGGGCTCTCAGGGGGTCTAGGGTATGGCACAAATGAGGCCATGTGGGGACCTGAGGGTTCATGTTCAGAAGAGGAATGAATACTAAAAGACCTGCATGGACATAGGGCGGGTAATGTTGGACTGTGCCGGGACACTGCTGGGCATGTGAATCAAATCTGGGGGTAGAATATGATGGTTGTTTTGTGGGCT